ACAGTAGATATACAATGTGTTTTATGCTGCATTAAAATAACTGACTGACCTAGATTTGAGTTTGGCAGCTCAGAGAAGTGAAAATGAGAGTGAGATTCAAATGAGCTGCTAATGAAGCAACAGTTTCCATCTTAGAGAATAAAACAAACACCATAGCAAACAGTTTGGAGCCTTTAAGTATCATTATCCACAACATAATCTGCTCTACCAACACTGTCAGCATGTGTACCCATGCACCTGCATGTTAATCTGTGCATTCCTTTTATAGTTGTGTGTCCAGATGGAACTTCCAGGTGTTATTGGAGAGGAGAAGGGCTTCCTGTGCTGCTGGGTGGGCTGCAGACTTTAATCCTCACAATCACTAAATGAATTTGTAGTTTTTACTTACAAATGACAGTAATCACAAGAAACAATTTCACACATAGGAGCATGATGTTTAGGGAACAGCCCAGGGCACTCTGGTCTATCTAATTCATGAAATATTTTTTTATAATGTAATAAAAATTATTTTGATGTACGAGCACAATTATGAGTGGCACAGGGTGTGAAACTGTCAAGAGCTTCTGACCTCAACCTCATAAAACAGAGCTGAGTTTTATGTCTCACCACTTTGTGACAAAAATGTTCTTTGCATTTTTAAGTTTATCACTGATGAATTCTTGTTTGACATTTTCAAGACCCAGCTTTGATTTATAGGGAACGTGATCATTTCAACAACAACTTTATCAAAGCACAATTTTTTTTACTCGCAATATTTATTCGTGTCATGAAACTATGGAGGAAATTGTTGTAGATATTGATTGGCGTTTGCAATAATATTGCTGAATGTGCGTCACATCCCCTGCAGCAGAGTTGACAGTAACTAGCAGCTCAATATAGAAAGTCATGTTGTCAAGGACCTAATGCCACCGCCTTCACTTGCACATGAGGATTTACCAAATGCTTTGTACAGTAAAGTTCCCTGTGCACCAGTCACTAACAGAAGTTATTCTCAAGAGTGGAAGTTAAAACACCGAAATGTCCCTGAGTGACGTCAGCAAACGTTTGAAACCATTCTACATAAAGATATGAGAAAGATTTAGATGGAGTTACTATGATCTTGTTTTTGACATGTATTTGGAAAATAATAAATGCGTTATTAGGAACACGTGATTTAAAATGGGAACATGTATTTTTCATTTCATGGACCCTTTTAAAGCAGAACAGGGTCTGTGAGATAAATAAAGAAGGTTCCATGAAGCGGTTGTGGACGCATGATAGTTTAAATGCATCAGCGCAGTTGATTTCTGGTCTTTATGAGAAAGCGAAAAAGCATCAGCACTGATCGTTAAACAGACAAAGAAAAGAGAAGAAGTTAATGAACAGGAAATTAAAAGGGGGGAAAAGTGGCAGTGGTTTTGGTTGGCAGGCTGTCTTTGATAGTGATCCCCCAAAGACGGAGACAAAAACACGACAACATCAGAGACACACTGACATTTTGTATATCACGTTTTCACAGCAGTGTAACTCTGAGAGGCTCTAGCTATTATCTACTGTATACACCCCCACCAGCAATTTACAAGCATTAGGAGCAGTGTGGCTCTGACCAAAGCACTGGCTCAAGTAAATTTCTCACAGTAGTGAACCTGAACAGCCCTGGGGCAGCATATCTACTGTCTGCTGAGATAATAACACATCTATACTCAAAACTCCCTGAACCAGGCTCGACTACAGCTCCAGATATTACCTCAACAATAACTAAGAGTGAAGCTATGAGAGTGAAGGAGGAAGGGGGGATGTGAATGAAGAGAGGAAAGAAAATGGAAACTGTGTTTTTAAGACGAGTAATTTATACTTCACCTATTAAACATGCAGAAATGCCGATGTTATGAAATAACCATGAACTTTGCTCACAGTGCGCGTTACAATGCTGCATTTCGATAATTGGCAGTAAATACAAAACATGGATGAGGCTGAAGGGAACTGACATTTGTTTTGTAGTTATTGAGTCATAAACTAATGTGTTTATGGCACTAGATAATAGGGCAGGTGATCAAATTTTTTTAAAGATTTTACGAGGAGAGAATTAATGTTGAGGCAGCTCTGCCTGAGGGGGAGTAGAGCAGTCGCCCTCTTACTAGGTGGTCAGCAGTTTGATCCCAGTCTTCCCCATCTGCAGGCAGAAGTGTCGTTGGGCAAGATACTGAACCCCAAATTGCCCCTCTCATAGAAAAAAAGCTGCCCATAGAGGCACTGTTTGAATGGGTGAATGACAATAGACTGTACTGTAAAGCGCTGTGAGTGGTCATGAAGAGAAAAGGGCTTTATGAATACAAACCATTTACAATGTCTGAAGAAAATTTCATGGCAAACACATGTGGCATTTTACTAGGCTTGAGGAAAAGTAAGGGGATCACCAAAGTCTTCATTCTCAGAGGACCATGAGATATATATGAGATATTTCAGTCTGAGCATAAGAGGTAAATCGACTGATTGACTTTGTCGTCCCTTGAGCTAAATCTCGAACATGACCGAAAAACTCAGCTGTGAGGTGGTTTCTCTGGATAATCTGTAAACCTTTGGTAGAAAGCATAGACTGTCAATAAAGATGGACAACATGCCTCCACTTCCTCCCCCTTTCCAGAAATGAAGCCAACATATCCTGGATACGAACACTGCCATCTTGCACATTTGGAGCCAGCGTCTGCGGGAGTGAGGTTCGTCCGATACATGCCCTAAACCAATCGTCAGTCTACTAACATGCAGGAGGTGGGATTTATGACCTATACTGCAGCCAGACACCAGGTGGCTATTGAGAGACCGTGTCTTCACTTTTGGGGAGCCGTCATGTCATCTTTAATCAACGGAAGATAGTAGTTCCACAAACAAACTACACCTAAAATCTATTCTAAAGTCCTTTACATTCAAATCCCTGCCTGTGTAAACACCACTTTAAATGGCCAACAGGTGTATTGTTCAACAGGTGGTTCAGCTTCACACATTTCAGTACTTTGCTGTAGCTGCTAGTGATTAACTTTTTGTGCGTGCACGTGCTTGTGTGTTGGTGTTGTGGGGCTGAAAGTGTGTTAATTTTCTATCCAGAGGAAAGAGATAGCTGCAAGTAATTACGCTGCTGCGCAGGGTGCACCTGGTGATAACTGGAGTAGATAGGTTTAACAAGCAATGATCCAGGCCAGACACAGACTTCACATGCAAACACGTACGCAGCAGGAAAGCATTAAAGTCACGTAAACACGGTGCAAAGCAGGCCAACATACCCGAATACCACATGCACACACAAAATGAAGGATTTAAATTGCTTGTTTACAAAGTGCACAGAGGTATGTCTGAGTTGTAATGGTTGTTGTGCATCTAAAAGTAGGTCAGTAAGTTTGTACACAGGTAGTGTATCCATCCATCGCCTGTATTATAATAGGTTCAGATAAATAAGCTGACATGGGACCGGGACATTCATCTAGATATTAGTACCAGTTATTCTAAGCAGTGACATAAAAGTACATTCCTCATTAAAAGCTGTCGTAATCAATTCCATATTAATAATAGCTGAAAGGATTATCCATAAAGTGTAAAGATTCAAGATTCAACCTCAATCTAACCACAGTAAACATTTTAGCCTCTTTGAGCTTGTTTTGCTTTCACAGTCGTCAGGTACAGTTTTGCTTAACTCTCCCCTTTTACCAGAGTTGTTTCAATGTTTTTGTCTAATTACAGCGAAAAAGCTCTAAAAGTGTATTTGTAAAATGGATAAACATTGAAAAGCACCTCGGAAGATATTTAGTTAGAGAGACAGAAATGTACCTCAAGAGCTGGAGATCAAAACAGAGCAGAAAGGTGGTGATGGTAGGATTATATAGTGTTTGAGCTGCAGCTAGGGCCTTAAGTTGTCCAGAGCCACCTTTTGAGCCTTGACAGACATACAGACATTTTTTTAATAAAGTGTTTCTTTAAGAATATGAAAAGTGATATGCATAATTTCTTTTTCGACAAATCATTTTTAAAATGTCAGAACCAGCAATTAACTGTAGTCCAGGGCTGTTTGTGTATTTCAAGCTTGGTACTGATTCCTTTGTGCCAGTTACCTTAATTGAAACTAAAGCATATAACCGCACTGCTGCGCTGTGTCTTTCTTCATTACTCTGAATATGGACATCTGATATAAAGTCGATCCTTTATACACTTTGCTTGCAGTTTTAATGTTTATGTCTTCAGTGGGAGTAAATGGGCACAGGGCTGAGTGCCACAGACAGGGTAATGAAGCCGGAAAGTAGAGATCACCAAATGTAGCTGTTATGTTTTTGTTGACAAGATAGTCCTTTGGATTTATCACTGTTATCTGTGCTTAATTTCATCCATTAAATACTGGACGAGGTGTTTCACTCTGAACCGGTGTGTCAGGCAGACAGCCTGGTGTCTTCCTCATCTCAGTCATGAATACCTTTCTCTCTCTGTTAAACGCTTGCAGCTCATAGACTTCCTCATTAACTGATCACAAGGACTCAGATGAAGACAAGCGTCATTTGGTGTCAATTACGTCAGTAACAGGATGTCAGTGAGTGTCATCTAATTTTCCATCATAGGAACAACTTAAGTCTAAATCACGAAAACATCTAATTAAACTCTGTCATCAGTTTCTCGTGTATAATTTTGCTGATTGGATAAACTCCACCACAAGGAAGAAACACACAGTGGTGCTGTGAACAAAGAATTTCCTTTCATTGAGATGACACCATTGCCTGGTCCGGTTCCTACAGACTCTACACTATTCGGTAACTTCCTCCCCACTCATGTGGCTTGCTGGAAATCGGCCAGAATCTAAGGCCGCTCTGCTGCCTGTCCCATGTGAGACAGGAAGCGAGACCCTATGGACAGTGAGCTCACCGCAGGAAGAGAGTGAGGGTGTGTGTGTGTACATGTACGTGAGCGCACAGGATTTTGTAACTCAGCTCTCTTCAGCCGGGTCAGAAAGCATTGTTCTGCACAAAAGCAAAAAAAGCAATTCATTGAATATTTTCAGAGCAATTTTTAATGTGTACATGTCCAGCATGGCTTGTTAACACACTCAACTAGAGGTGAACACACAACAACACATATGTATAAAATCTTACATTTCCTACAGAAAAAACAACACCCACTAACAACCAATCAAAAAAATCTAATTGGAATGTTATTAACAGAGAAGAGAAAAAAAAATCACAAATTAAAATCAAAATAAGACAAATCATCAAGGACCAACAATAACCTCATGTTTTGATTGGCTGCTTTTTTTGTATATTTTTTTCTCACCATTTGAACCCAGTCAGGGATGATGGTAAAGTTTTTTTTCTTTTTTTTCAGAAAGTCACTGAACCATTACTCAGGTAGTAATGAAGACAGAAGTTCAAGAGGACCTAGTGTGAGATGCTAAGTACTGATGGTCAGTACAGAATCGACTGGCTCCAATAACTACTGTAGCGGCAGTTAGTGGATGAAAACAGTTTTCTCTAAGTGGGCTCCTCGTCAGTTCCAATGCTCGTCTGAATCTCAACCAGAGCTGATCCACTGCACTCACTCTGGACAAAGCGACGACATGGAAGCTGAAAGTCATTTGTCAGCCATCTTTCCTGTTCCGTCCTGTTCCATGGAGAGCGGATGAGTGATGATTTCAGATGAGTGGTTTCAGAGTGCATGGGCTCAATGGGCAAGGTGAGATGCACTCTGGGAAAAAAGGAGAACCCACAATCCTTCTGGGGTTGAGCCATCAGAAGCCACAGAACTAACCACAGTCAAACTGAAACAGATCCCAGTCTTCCTCTACGTCAGGTTGGACTGTCTTTTCTTCTTTGATCATTTCAGTTTTATTTATTGATCTGTTTTTTCCTGACATAATTTCAGACATGGCATGTGGCTGATGCAATGGTTGTTTGATCCTTCTGGTTATTAGGCAGCGCAGGGATCGACTGCTATCGCAGGAAGCTGAAACACAACAAATACAGAGTGGAGTGCACGAACAGAGCAAAAAGACAACTTGCCATCTGAATGATTGTGACAGTTTCAACAGAGATGTTCATGAAAATATAAGAAAAAAAAAAAAAGAAGGTATAAATCCCGGGCTCAGAGCCAAAACAGCAGGGCTGAATCAGGAAGGCTTAACATGCAGTGTTTACACAAACACATCTTGAGAGAGACGAGAGCTCAGACAAGCTCAGCAATGTCCTAACCTTACCCAAACTTTGCACCAAGGCCCCGCACTTCGAAACATACAAGGCATTAACATAGAACAGCTCAAGTCTTTTGCAACTTCAGATTTAAATGTGACCTCCCAGTGACAAGTGTTTGTTCCACAAACTCAAACCCTGACAGGTATGGTGTCTTTGCTTAAGTGTTAAATGTTGCTGAACAAGGAGGTGGATCTAAAAACAGGCTCTGCTGCATAAGGCTGGACCTTGGCCTGGACTCGTTTCCTGATGGAGGGGTGGGGAGGGGAGGAAGGTGAGTCTGGAGAAGAGAATAATGTGTTTGTGTGTGAATAGGGGAGAGAGAAAATGGGGGGAGGAGAAAGAGAGTGAAAAGAGAGGAAGGGAGAGAGAGAGAAGGCCATTGTTGTTATTATGATCCCCTCGGGGCTTGGAGGGCCGGGCTGAGTATGAAGAGGGGTGGGATCGAGACAGTGTGGGAAATTTACAGTCGGAAAACAGCCCTTGCTTATTGTAGAGCTGATTAAGTCCACACACACACACACACTCATCAATCAGCCCTGACAGATTTCTCCCCAAACCTCTCAACATTCCTCCCCTGCTCGCTGTCCTGAGACGATCAACTGTCCTGAATTCAATCCCAGTCAGTGTCACCTTTACAGAGAATCTCTCAAACTGCCGAAACTGTGGTTTCAAGTAAAGAAAACTCAGGTACACTTGACTTATTCAACTTTGAAGTTGTTGCTTTCGCTTTGAAGTGGTTATGTCCCTGTGGGCTCTCTGTATGGAGGTTACAGAGGAGAGAAAGTGAGGATTGAAATATATATATATATCAAAATTAACTCCATACACAACTTTTTATCAGTGAGTCTGCATTTTCAGAACCTTGCAGACGCTTGACTGTCCAAGCACTCATTGATGTGTCTGTAGGATCGAGGGAAGAGCAGGGCAGGGGGAGGAGAAAGAAGAGGAGGGAGGGGGTGCTTTTAACACTGATTAGCTGTGTCCGCCAACCAACCAGACACCCCTCCCCCCACACACCAACCCTGATGATGAGGAGGTGAGCGATGGACACAGGATACCGTTTCCTGGCAACGTCCATCGACTGGCCACAGATCAATCTCCAGACCTCTGGTGGAAGCTGCTTTTGCTCTTCCTTTTTCCCCCTTTCAGCACGAGTGCCCTGTTAACTGTGACTCTGTCTGCTGAGGTACGTCACCTCAACCTGTCCTCACATTGCTGGAGGCCGGACGCATAAGCCCAACTGCTAGTGCTTTAGAGTTCCAGCTCACATTTGGACACAGGACTGAAAATGATTTACCTGAAGTAAAAAAAAGAAAAAAAGATGACTGTTCTTTAACCTTTTTTTCATTACAGTCATAACCCTGCTCTCCTTTGAAAGGTAAGTCTTTAAATTTTACAACCAGAAAAAATCAATCCTGGGCCAATAGCTGTTGCAGTGATATGGTGGTGGTGAGGGGGTCCTTGAGATGCTTTGTGCAGATGGATCAGGAGACTCTGAGCTTTCAAACAAACGTTTGTCAGGTTTTTCTGCTGCAAACAACAACACATGACCCCCGCAGCAGAATGAATGTGTTACGTTATTCTTCGGAGTTCCTCCAGAGGTTATATCCTAAGATGGCTTCATGGTAGCGGAACTACCACCGAGGCAGGTTTAAGTTAGTTTGTTGTAAAAAGTCTGAAAAAGTAACGGGCCACACTGACAACTACAAGCAAAGCACTTACAGCGCACATTCCTCAAGAAGGTCTGTCTCCTACTGTAAATTGAAGTTTCCTCTCTGACCAGCACTGTTGTTGAGCCAGCAGAGAGAATTTGGGTCACATGGGCTGTTGCCAGTGGGATAGAGCCATCAGAGTTCTCTCTCTCTCTCTGCCCCCCCCCTCTTGTTCCTGAAATCCAAACTTTGCAAGCTCAGGGAGAGGAGGTCAGCCTCCCTCCCCCATCCCCCACCCTTGTCTCAGCTGCAGGAAATTTGGACTCTCCTCACCCTCCCCGTCCACATCTGTGTAACCTGAGCTGGGTGAGCTGAGCCCCCTCTGGTCAGGGGGGCAGTTTACCTAATGCTGCCTCAGATAAGCCTCCTTCCTATTCCTATTTGGGGTCACTCTCTCAAGTCTTCCAGCCCTACACTCTCACTCACTTCAGCCTGGTTTGCAAACAAAGGGCTAATTTTCTTATTAAAAAAAAAAAAACAAGGATGGGAAAACCTTGTCTTATCAGTTGCTGGGACTACATTTAAAATCTTGAAACATTCACAGGTACCAAAATAAATTCTTGAAAATGTACCCATAATGAGCTCAAGTGAAATTATCTTAGCTTTCTTTCTTTTCTCTTTCATGGACAAGTTTTTACAGGACAACACCACTGGTTTTGCAGGTACTAGCCCCTTTACTGCTATTTAAAACCTTTTCCTTTTTTAATTATGTCACAGCATTAAAATCTATAGGCAGATTTTGAATCAATAATAATTTTTGTGACTTTCACATCGTCTATGAATGAATGGAAAACAAAGGTTGCCACCAAAAGTAAAAACTCTATGGCATGTATTTTAAAGTAGTTTGCAAATAATTAGTATAGCTAAAGTAGCTATATGTTAAAAACCATAAAAATAATAAAATTGTTCCTGTGTACACACTACCCTTTATCCTATCTCTGCTCGTGGGAGGGGGTTGTGTTTTCATTCTTGAAGTTCAAGGTTTAGTTTAGGGGTCGCGGGGGTGAACAGCATTTGCACACACCTGCTGTTTTTTAATGAAGAGGATTAGTCTGTGATCACATGAGCCTGCATAGCCCGAGCCCACCCTGGTGCTCACAGCTTCACTATCTTTATAACAAAAAGACCACAGGTTGTCAGGGAGGTTTCTTACTTTAAAAAAAAAAAGCGCAAGCAGTAAAAAGGCTGTTATTAAGTCCTTGGTACATTAGCTGCACCCTGTGACTGCTGGGTTGTTTTGTGGTGCAACATCCTGCTCTGAAATTAAAAGCTGTGGCTTTGCTTTGTCTCTTGTTTTGTCACACACACACAAACACACACAGATGCAATAAATGCTGCCTCTCCTGTGTTATTTCATAGTGAGCTGACTTTAAATTAACCATTAGTCTGTCTCCTCTGGAGTCTCATTGTTGACAGAGAAGAGGCTCTATGAGAATTAGCCACATAAATGAAAGCTAAAGGAAGAGGGTACCCTCAAACGTCTGTTTACCTTTTCAGCCAAAGAGGTCTTTAAATGGTTTCCAAGTAAGGAGAGGAAAAGAGGTAGACCTATTGTCCAACTGTGTGGGCACAAGAGAAAGAAGGAAAACAAGGCACAAGCAGTCTGACTTCAAAAGGTAATTATGCTGTGTTACAGATTGGGATTTATTTTTGTAGATTTAGTCATCACCTCTTTTTATCATATTGTGACTGTGGATAGTGATTATTTAGTGAATTATTTAGTGAACTAATTATTGTTTGGATGATAGTTTTAATATCTGTCCTCATTTAAGCTAAGTGTTAGATTTCATTTTGGCAATAATGCTGCGTGCCCAATTCACAGATCTCAGCATTTAACTAGGTGTGATCATGGCAAAAATATGGAGCCGATGTGAGCAAAGCCACAGAGTCCATATATGCTAACGAGGCAATTGCATAGGGCATGAAGTTTACTTAGTGTTTTAGTCATCAACATTTTGCGACTCTGGACAGCGCGAGACGTGAAGCTCACAGTCAGGACTCAGTGTTAAAGTGACCAGAGGATCCCGATTCATGATCTGACACCATCGATTAGTAACTACATACATAATGGTAAGTTTATCATCTAAATCCTCCCAATAAAAAATGGAACAAATGAACGTGAACTAGTTCATTTTCATCTGTATGAACTGAACTTTGAACTAGGTCTTTGGTCATATGAGCTGACACTAGTGTAGGTGTGCTGCAAACAAAAATCCCTGCAGCACAATTCATAGGTTCTATACTGCCTCTGCCTACTGCACCACCCCTCGCCTGACTATAGATAGAAAAGTGTGATAGTGTGATAGAAAAAATTCTGGACCCACTTCTAAGGACTTCCTCTTGAGGTAAGGTCTGAAACATCTTTAGCGTAACTACCACAGAAGCAGGTTTAACGACTGATGTTTGTTGCACTGTAGACAGTTTTTGTCACTTCCATAGAGTCACAGCTGCGCAAGATGCTATCATGAACTCTACAAGTTTGTACCTGAGATCAAAATAAAGGTTCAGACCTGGGTGTGGTTCGACCAGTGAGTATGTCAGCATGTTAAATGGAGTAATCCCATCGCAACAAGTTCTCCAGCAACTTTTACAATCAATGGATAAAACTGCAACAAACAAGATGTGAGTTGATTGGAATTATCCCTTAAAACTAAAGCATCATCTGTATGAAGAACAAGCCCAACTCCAGATTCAATCTTCAGACTAACAACCACGTCAAAACTGAAATGTCTGCTGGGACCAAACCCTGCTGCTTCCCATCTCAGCTCTCACACTCTGGAAGACTGTGCTCTACTGCAGAAACAAGCAAGGAGATGGAGCAAGGTGAAGAAGATGATCATGAAAGGAGGAAGGAACACAGCTAAACCTTACGTGGACGTTTAGTGACCCGTCTGTTCCAGCCTTTTGCATGTGTCTTTCTTTTGTGGGAAGAGTAATAGCATACGCAGATGTCAAGTTATCAGAGAGGAAAAAGCCCCCACTGAGATTAGGGAAAGGGGGAGGAAGAGAGAACAGAGCGGCCTTCCTGGTTTAGAAATAAAAATAATAACAAAAAGTCACACAAAATGAATCCAAACAAAAATACCAAAAAAAAAATGTGCAAACTTCTCTCATATAAATAGACTACAGTCAACGCATTGTAGAGCACCTTGGGAGACAAGAGGAGGTTAGGATGATGTGTGTGCGAGTGTGTGTGTATATGTAATACATAATTTATGCTTGATTCTAGTTTTTGTGTGTGTGGATCTACTACCACAAGTATTAAGAGTTTCAGAGCCACTAAGCACAGAGATGTGAGACAGATGGGTCACTGAGGGAGAGGCTGGGATTAGAGGAGGCGGGTGTCTAAATTCAGATTCAAGTTCAAAGTTCATTGTCCCCCTAATGTCCAGGGTCACACCCAGTCCTGCAGTGAGCGCTTACAGTGCACCAGCAGCCGCGGCGCCCCTTTGCTCTGCAGCGTGTTGATGATGGCGTAGATCAATCCCAGGATGCACAGCACCAAGACCAGTGGGATGGTTACCATCAGGATGTTCATGGTCCGCTCCTCGCTGTCGTCCACCTTCAGCACCACGTCCACTTCGTTGGTGCCCTCCTCCCGGCCCTCGCGGTAGTCCTCGTCTTTGTCACTGTCTGATCCCTTGCCCGTGTCTTTGTCTGTTCCACCTTTATCCGTTCCGTCCTGTTCTTTGTCCTGGTCACCTTCACGTCCTGCGTCTGGGTTAAATGGCGGACGGTTCACATCTGGGATTTTCCGCCCTGAGTCGGTGTCTGTGTCTCTGTCTGGGTCCAGGTCTACACTGCAGCCCATGAAGTCTCTTAGTATGGACTTGGGGTAGCCTGGTTCACTCTTCATGCGGTGGTTGTCAAACTTCCAGTACTTGGAACCCTTGTAGAAGAAAGTGTAAGCTGGAGGAGGCGAGGAGAACATAAGATTTCAGTCAGCGTATCAATTTAAACAAAGAGTTAAGAGTTAGATGAGAAAATTGTTGCCGCCATCATATCTGTCTGTTCAGTATTAAGCTGGATCTGGCAGTTGGTTAGCTTAGCTTAACATGAAGACTGGAAACTGGTTGCATGAAAGACTAGCTAGCCATTTCCAGATCCCTTGCTTAACTAAGGCTAGATCCATACTACTATTTTTTCATTTGCAAATTGCGTTTTCAAATTAAGTATCAGTTTTAATCCATGTCCATACTAAAATGCCTGAAAGAGCACATCACGTTGTACATGTATGTGTAAACAGGAATAATAGCTGTTAGCAAAGACAACAGGGTCAGCAACACTTATAATTGATTATCTGTTTTGCATTCTACACTGGAACCTGGGCTAATGCTGGTTGTTTTCTTCTGGAAGACTGTCATGTGATAGGATCAGAGTCATGACCAAAAGGACCCAATCAGTAAGTGATTGTGAGTGTCTACGTCATCGTTTCCAAATATCTCAGTTTTTGTTTGTCCAGACTAATCCGCAGCCCTAGAATGTAAATGGGACCAGTAGCGTTTCCAAACCTTGTGACTTTAAAACTCTGGAATTTTAGAGTGAATGTGTTTTCAAAGGAAAATGTAGCAGCAACTTTGTATTGTTGCTCTAACCAAAGCACAGAAAAGCACAAGACATACACTTCGCTTCCCAGAAGAGACAAAGTCTTGCCTGGTCACGCCTTAATTCTTTGTTTCAGGCGTGTCTCTGTCTGCATTAGCCCCTCCTTGTCCTTTTTGCTGACACACACACACACACACACACACACACACACACACACACACACACACACAAACCACTCTTCTTGTCCCAGCTCACCTCCGTCATCGCTGAGGAAGGCCCCCTTGGGAGCAGAGGGCACTGACGATCCCCAGACGCTGATTGGTTTCGGGTAGCCTCTGTCAGCTGAGCGCGACTGCTCATTGAAACGCCAGTACCTGCAGAGAGCAGTGGAGAAGATGGCTGTCACTGTTTATCAGCTGTCTAAACAAGAGCAGGGTGAGGGCCTACATGGTGTATATATAACAGCACAGTTTATACAGGACATTCAAATTGAAACAAGTATAAATGCACCAGCAGCCCCCAGTGTAATTACTTACTTTCCGGAGTGTTTTCATAAATATTTTTCTCTTTTACACACTGGGGTTTTTCTGTTCCACGGTATCTTCAACATGTTTGTGTTGTTCATAGAACTTTCTAACTTTGTTAACTAAGAGCTGCACATATACAGCTGCTGCTATTTCTCATGTACGACTTAATACTCATAGGGAAAAGCTATAATTAAACTAATAAATAATTTACATGATCTTGAAATAATTTCATTCCACATTTGGGAGAGAGGTATTTTCCGATACCATTTGGTAGAACTACAAAAAAATAAAAGCTATCCAGTACACTAGTATAAATGCACACGAATGTGCTTTGAAACATAAATCAGAAACAACACAATTTTTTCCCGGATGAGACCCACTGTGAGTAAGATTCATTATCTGGATCATGAATGTCTCCACAAATTTCTTGGCTTCTTTTTTATCGTTGCTGAAATTAATGAGTCTGGACTCAAAGTGGTGGAGTGAGCAACACACAGCAAGCATGGGTAATTGTACGTGAGTAAACACAACTATTGATACTCGTTTACACCTGAGTGAGCCTGTGCACACAGTTTCTTAACATGGGTAAACCCCTAAAAAGGTAATGGCTCCTTTTTCATTGCCAGTGGAGGAGTTTGCCAAACTGTGTTTTTCCCAGTGATTAATGTTTGACTTCACAAATGCACCAACAACTGAGGCGCTCTTGCACAATGAGCGCGTTCACCTGGGTGTCACATTTCCATTCGATCAGAGCTCGAGCTGATTAAAACCTGTGTCTACTGCAGAGTCATTTAACCTGGGAGTGATTGTTATCATTCCCATTACAGACAAAAGCCAGATGTTAGGAGGCATAGTGAGTTTGATCAGTGACAAGGGGGTTTAATAAACTAATAAACAGGGTAGCAGGTGAGTTTTCTTGATGCTGACAGGTTGGAGGCTAAATTACCAGTCTCCTTGAAAGAAGTAAGTGTAGCCGGATGGCTCCCACCAGATGGCCGTGTCTATTCGGTCGTAGGGAATATCCTGACCATAATCAGTCAGCTCCATTGGATAGCCATGTTCCAGGTTAGCCTCCCTGAAAAGCCAGAATCTGTTTCCTGGGGAGAGGAGACAAAGGGAGACAAGAGGAGAGGACCATTAGTGGACTCTTATGGATCTTTACACGTATCCTTGGATTCACATGGGTCAACAAATGCAAACAGATGTAAACAGACACATCCACACATAGAGACATAGATGTGCTGTGTGTACATTTAAGATACTGGCATACCATATGTTGAGTAATTGAAATAGAATGAGGAATAAAAAGAGAACATGGGAAACCAAACCACCATTTACACACACTTGTAAATTATATGAATGTAATAATGATTTGTTGGCAGGCAATCAAAAAGACTCAGCAAACGCGAGTACGACATCATTGACTAAGGAGTTTGGGTTTGGCTTGTAATTATCCGTTCAGAGCGGCTTGTCTCATGTAGCAGATTTCTCGCTGAAGGGAAGGTTTTATTGTTTTTATTATGTCAGGCCGGGGTACTCCATTCCTCCTGGCACCATTACATCTCTCCTCTTTGGCTCCAGTCCTTCCTTTCCCCCACCCACCCAGCCAACCATCCATCCATCCATCCATTCACCCACCCACCTCCAGCCCCTTGCTCCTCGTTTAAAATGAAAGCTCAACACTCAGCATAGAGAACAAGAGGTTGACGTAATGCATCCAAGGGTTCCTGTGGTGCACGGCCCTGATGTAAAATCCCATGACTTTTTCTACGACTTTTCACGACTGCACTCGAGCTACAGTGACCTCAAGATGTCATCCCTTCCTGCTATGAAACTGCGGTTTTTCTAAAGGGATAAACAGTGTGGTTTGTTTGGGATAAAAACAGCTGGACAACCTCTGGGTAATACAACAGCTAGATGGATACATCTTTATTACTGTACTGAGGATTTGTAAAATTCTATTTGCCAGGTTTGGACTACAGCTTCGCTTTTACACCGAATAAATATATAGTCATCCCTGTTCTTTCTCAGTAAACACCACCACATTCAATTTAGAGATTTAATTTAACAAGAACAAAAGGACGTGGTTCCCTCTACTTAAACTGCCAGAACAGTGTTTTTCTTGACTTCACCAACTCAGGAAGTCCTGTGATTTCACACGTCACTGTTGTGTTTTGTATATTTAGGATTTGACATCATTCACTTTTGTCTGTCGGTTGGTCTGTCAGTGGGATTACACAAAAAGTAGGGAACTGATTTGCAGTTAACTTGGTGGAGGGATGGAGCCTGGGTCAAGTAAGAATCCACTCAATTCAAATGCACATCTCATTAAAAAGGGCGGCTCCAGGATCAACAAAAATAAACAAGTAAATAAAAACTTCAAGTATTATTGAACACTCAATTACATTTGGGAATAGCCAACATGCATACATGGATCATATTGCTAGTGTCAAATTATGTATTTATCTGGGATCTGAACTCTGACCTCTTCACTCCCAAGAGGAAACATGAAGCTCACCACAGCAGGGAGTGGGGGGTAAATTCTGTGACAGTTGTGGGTTTAGTTATTTCCTGCCGTCACGGCTGATAGATGTGAAACGTATTAGAAGATACTTGTCAACCACCAATCACACACAGCAAACAAATCAACCTAATGTGCAGAACTTTGCACATGAACACAGATGAAGGAAGGAATTATCACACTGACTGTTGCTGAACCGACTGGTCTATAGGTCTTGGTAACAGATATCGTGCTGCTGTTGCTGGTCCCCCTTTCTCTTGCTCCCCAGGGGCTCACACTCCTCTTTTCTTTCCCTCCTTTTCACTTCCCTCCTCTTGTTCTTTTTTTGTGAATGGCTCGCAGCCAAGTGTCACACAGAGGGACTTGCCGATGACATCATGCCCCTCACCATCAACAGCTGCCCCAGAGCCTGTGGCTCCCCCGTTTTAAGCTGCACTGAAGGCCTGAGCGCTTTCTTTTTCATTCAACAACATCATCCACCATTGTAAAAGACGAGCCGCTCTCAGTGACTCACAGTGTGAATAATGAGCTGTGCTAAAGGAGATTTATACTCTGCATGTAGAAGACATTATGTAGCGCTGCTTTCTTGAGGAAGCGTGGGCACGTGCAGTATATCTCCAACATTATCTGCAGAAGAGGACTAAAGCTCCACAATCTGTTTTACCATTAAAGTTTGATAGCATTAAGACATGGCGGTTTAAAATGACCATGGAGCAATATAATTGTATTAAGGTTGTTAAGAAGAAACCAGATGGTGGGTGGATTTACATGGAGGAAGAGTATATCTTTGTATAAGGGAGACTTATCTTCCATATACTCTGTTCGACATTTTTCAATAAAGATGAAAGTAAAAGAATATTTCCACTCTAAAGCTGACACGCTGCTACAAATGGAAGACCAACTGACTTATGATAAAATGCAGATGCAGTGATACCACAGCCTCTGCTGAGTCTGAACTATGATTGTTTGTTACACAGTAGTGCTGTTTGTCACAGTTGCTACTTGAGCATCACAGCGCTGTCACACAAAGCATGTGTATTACTTTCCTGCACACTGTGTAAGGCAGTGGTTGAAAAATTGGGTATATTATCAAAGGCAGTTGCTCCTGGAAGTCTGTCATGCTCTCAAAAGGTTATTTGGAGCAGGCCTGTTTTACAGTAACAGTCACCAGTAGATGGTTTGATAAATGACAAATGATCAATCATCATTTGACCTTTTCCACTGAGCTGCGAGGAACTAAGTTACAAGTGCAATGCAATTTTGTTTATGACTTTAGGATACTGTCAGCATGAGCAAGTGCATCATCATGTTCTGTTTCGGAGCCTGAGCGCATGCATCAATCAGTGTTTGAGTATTTGCTGCTTACCTTTAAAGAAGACGAACCTGCCGTCGTGTCTTTCATAGGCTGCATCGATATCTCCAGGCAGACCCCGCCAGAAGTGACTGATGGGCATGGGGTAGTTATCCAGTACCCTGTTCCGACGCACCCGCCAGAACCAGCGGCCCTAAGGGGACAGAATTGAAAAAGTGTGTTTGAAACACATCTCAACAAAAGCAGAGAACTTTCCACAAGAATATGGAGAGGCCAGCGAGAGGGAAACAGAAGCCAGCTATGGGGGGTTCAGGGGCTTTATCCCCCCACAGAAAGCCCAAATTTTGTGGCTTCTGACATATATAATGACACTATTAAATCATACACACTAATCTTACTTATTGTATATTTAAATAACTTTGTCCACCTGATTTTAAACATGTTGTAGAATTAGTTAAGGTAAGGGAAAATTATATAACCCACACAGTCTGTAAACAGCTATTTCTATTCAAAACATGTCCCTGACTGATCAGAACTATTAATCTTAAATCTTAAATCTTCACAATATCAAGTAAAACATCATTTATGGTCAATAATAACACGGTTGTTTTCAGGGTGAACATCTTCGTGCAACTTCTTATCTTCTTATCTATCCTGTGTATTAGACAACCTAAAATCAACAAACAAATGGACAGGGGTGAAAACATGACTCTGATGGTGGAGGTCATAAAGTAGATGGCTAAACAGGTATGAAAGCACCAGGTCTACTTGTAGTTATAGTAAGAAAGGAGCGTAAGTCACTTTTCTTTAGATAACTGTTTTCTTACACTGAGGTCAGCTAGTACTGCTGTGCTGCCTGTTGGTCACTATGAGCTCTGCAGGATAACTGGACCAGAACATACAATAAACTAACATTAGCAGAACAGTAGCAGGCTAATAATAGTCAAGTCTCCGCTCTGGTGGCTCTATCACGTCTCCCACTCTCTCTGCAGACAACAGACTAACGTTGATAAAAAAACTGTCATGTGTGCATCCCAGCATCAAATCTTTCCCCTGAACACACAAAGAAACGTATGAACGGTCATATCTACTGTAAATGCTGTGCACACAAGCCAGAAGACAGATTTACACCAGTCTCATTCATAAGTGGTGAGTCAGTAGCTCTGCTTGTCCTGGATAATGTAACGTTAAAATGCTCAGTGCTGCTTCTTTCTGGCAAGCACACCTAGTTTTGTCCTTCACGTAGAACACACTGGCAGACAGGACGACGCGACGCGGCATGGAATGGAACAGAATGAAGATGTGTTTAACGAGAGCAGAGAGAAACAGAACAGGGCCAAACTGAACGGGGAGCGTGCTCTTTGATTTGTGTGGTCTGACAGCTCCTTGCGTTGACCAGATTAAGACTGAATTGACCATATTAGTCCTCAGCAGAACAGACCAGACCTCAGTGTGGGAGGTTCAATACTGGGAGCAGCTCAGTGTTGCTCTGCTGACTGTCTCTGTGTCCAGCCCTGAGCGCCAAATAAATAGTAGACGTGAATAAAAGAAAGGAGCCATTTCCCTCCAGAATGACAGCCACTTGTTACTTTTAATGGACAGAACTCCGTGAAAAAGAGAGTGGTACTGATGTCCCACAAATGACTCCCACTCTTGCAGCTCAAAGTAAGTGATTTTGCCTGTGCAGAGGAATAACAGAGAAGAAGAATGTCTACCATTAGTAACTAAATTGTCCTAACTATACTGGTGCAAGGACTGAAAACTGCCTGTTGGAAACTGCACCAAAACTAGAGTGCTAAGAAAGTAATGATAACAAAGAAAAAATGATAACAATCACTGTAAGATGATGAAAGTTTGAAGGAAAGACATCAGAGGTGTCATTGTTGAACTTAAAGACCTGGGAGAGAAGAATCTAGTGCACATTCACTATAGTCACTGTATAGGATGTGAAATACACACAAAACCACACTTTTGATGGTGGTTCATTTGCATCATCCATAAGTTTTACTTGGAAGGAAGAATCTAGTTCATTTTGCTATAGTTACACTATAGTATGAGGTCATGACACAACATTTGATGATTGTCTGGACACTTTGGAGACTGGGGTGGGGCATAGTATGGTAGGTTGATTACTATTTTTTACACTGCACATGATAATTGTATTGCATTGATTTGTATTCACAAAATTGATCTGATGACTGAAAAGTATATTATTTGCTTTTCGTCTGCACTCAATCAGATTGGGTCATATGTATTAGTTTAGAAACCAGTGGTGGTCAGGGAAAAAGTGAGTCTTGGACGCTGATTAATGTTGTCCAGACGAGCTTTGTGACTGTGGATAAAACCCAAGAACATAGACATCACTGGCTGAAATGAAATCTAAGAGCACAGATATAACTGCGTGACCATGTGCAGCACTGGATGCTAAGTCGTCCAACTGCTGGTCAGCGTCAGGCACACTTAAGGTCTAAGATAAGAGATATTCATAGACTGATGTGTGTGTGTGTATGTGTGTGTGTGTGTGTGTGTGTGTGAAGGGGCAGGGCTCTCTGAGAGGAGTGCTCGGAAACAGCGCTATTTGCTTTAAAGTGGCGATCTTGAGCATTTTCATTTAAATAAAAGTCTGTTAAGTCCCTGTTTATAACCAGATAAGGTAACAATTGTTTTTGAGCCTATGTTCCACAGAAGAATGTATCACAATAATAATAAGTACATTTTCCAATTCTGCAGCTTGACATTAAAATCATTTAACTGAACTTTAGTAAAATCCACTGTGTTTGTCATTGAGCACTTACTGATATCATTCATCAAAAAGGCATCTAAGAAAGAAGACACTGGTCACACTCAGCATTTTCTGACAGCAGATGAGTTTGAAATACTGCAGTTAGTAATGGAGGAGTCAGGCATGGCAGCAGTGAGCTGTTTGACGAAGAGCTGCAGGAGACAGTCTGCAAACCTCCAACTTCACAAAAAGAGAGACCAACTCCTGTCACAGTGCCCTGCTGCGTAAAATCAAATCACAGTTGCTCCCCATTTTTCTCCGATCACCCCAACTGGTCAAGGCAGATGGCCACACACACTGAGTCTGGTTCTGCTGGAGGTTTTTTCTCCAGTTAATGGGGGAGTTTGCTCATTGTGTTGTATATTATGTGCATAAAATTGAATTGAATTGAATACCCTTTATTTTTATTGATTTGTTTTTTGCCATGTATTCTGTGAGGCACTTTGTAACCTTGTTTAGATAAGAGCTTTACAAATAAAGTTGTATTTTTAATATTATTGCTCACAGAATGTTGGAAAAACAACAATTCTTTGTTTTGCTGCCCTCGGAATTCTGTGAGCTGTGGTATTAGACTACATTTGCTAGCTGTCGCCAAATCAACCAGGACTTAAGTCTTAAACATTCAAAAGCCAGTATAATGTGATGCTCCATCCATACTACTACATATTTTAAACTAAGACAATCTCATTCCACACAATCTTTTTGGCTGCATATTCCCATCCATACTAACCTGCCTGAAAATACATATGACATAACCTCTCACGTACAATGAGCATGCTCGTGCTGTTGCACACAGATCACTTGAATTAAATCTTGTCTCCAACACATGTAAGCAGCTGCATCATTGTAAAATGCTCTTTGCAACACAACAGTCTCAGCAACACATTCTAGACTTGTAGTGTGGATGGAACCTAAATATTCTCCTCTATGAAGGCTCACAAAGTGATGTTTTATAACCTTTGCCATATTTAATGTAAAAAGTTTCAAGAATCCATTTCAAAGTGTGGTTGATAGTTGGACACTTTTAGATATCTCCACATAAATGACTCCCTTCAGCTGCAGTTCACTGTCAAATGCCAACATTTCATACTTCAGGACAACATCCAGTCAATATTAAACACAGTAGAACTCCCTCTAATGTATATGACACAAGAAATAAATGTGAGGTTTTTGAAGTGAATCTGAGGTTCCTGGTGTTCACTGTCCAGGTGCCTTTTATTACTGCAAACCTCCTCAGTGTTCAGCGCTTCAACAGTCAACGCCTCCTTTGACCTCTCCCACTGAAACACAGCTTTACTTATCTTTATAGAGTGGCTCAATGTATAGGTTGTCACTGAAGAGGTTAAAAGCAATGAGAAAAGGAAATTCAGTCCAGTTTGCTGCTTTAATTTCCGTTCCTTCAACTGACATTGACGACATACGTTTCCTGCATCATCAGCTCTGACCAGGAAATGCTACCTCCATGATTGGTGAAAACATATGACCACAGGTCTGGGCTGCATGATATCAAGGAACCTTGATTTATATGTCAGTATTTGAGATCTCAAGTAGGCGAATGTTTACAGCACATGCAATGTCCATGGTTTGATTCAGGACGGGGATCATTGTTGCATTAGATGCCCCTTCTCCTCCCTATGTTTCCTGTCTGCCTCTCAACCGCTGACTTTCCAGCCAAAAAATGCCAATTAAAACGAATAATAAAAAGCCCACAGCAAAATAAGAGTTTTCTAAGTTTTATCTCTTAGGCCTTTACTAATAGCTCACTGCTGCTTCAGCCCCTGTGAATGTTTTGTGTGGGTCCAGAGGCTCTTTAAGGAAAACACCTGAGAACACCCCACCCTTTTAACAGTGTTCAGTGTCATAAAAACACCCACCCTGTTGTTTTACAATCCACAAGGACCTGATTGAAAACAGATCTCTTGCTGGCCATGCACACGCCATTTGTCTTAAACCGATTCTCCAGGAAAGTACAACTAATTTATTGATGCTGTTAACGTGTCAGAGCAGCTCCTCTGCTGGAGGCCGACTAAAAGACAAGTAAGGTCCTATAATAAACCATTATAATGGTATATATAATGGGGTTTTTTGGACTTTGTGTGCTCATTACTGCAGACCCAACTTGCAGTTACAAATCCCCATTATTATCTCAAATCTAAAAGCCTTTACCTTGAAAACAAACATCTCTCCTCTGAGCATGGCGACTGTATCAAAGTTCCCCTCACAGATATTGGGTCCATAGTGATCTGGCCTTTCAGTGGTTCTGGGACGGTCAGGATGGCGAGGTGGTGTTTGAGGTGGCCGAGGTTCCGGGCGACGTGGAGTCACTGTGGGCAGGGCCTGGGTGGGACCACTGTCGGAGTGACCTGATGGGGAAAACGGACAACGTGGGTTAAACCTGTTTGATGCAATTACAATCAAATAATACAGGTATCAAGTAAAGGTGTGGTTAGAATCAAGGTTAAGAGTCAAACCTACTTTTTTGAGAACTTAAAGTCAAAGAAATTCTTTAAAACAGAAGCATTTTTGCTTTCTTGCTGAGGGTTAGATAAAAACACTGATGCCACCCTCATACACAATATGTCTGTCATAAACAAACTAATTCAGCATCAAGTGTAGAAACATGGAAAACCTGGAAAATCTGGCTCTAAAAAGTAAATCTGCTTCTAATTAGTCACTAATTCATGTTAAATGTTAAATCTCTGAGTCTCTGCTGGTTTTCTGACAACAAAGACATTTAACAAGATATTTTACACTTCCTTAAAAATGTATGAAATATGAACTGATATTTATATTTTACACATTTTTAAAGATGTAAAAAGGGTTTACAATAAGAATGAAGAAAAAACTCTTTGAGAGAGTTATAACTTTGTTGTAGGAAAGTCATCTGACGTGCACTGTCCATCCTACCGTAGATCTGCTGGATGCCCCTCCGGTCGTCCTCAGGCAGCTGGAAGTTCTCAGTCTCCATCCATTGGTAGAAGGGAGCCATGATGGCCAGTGGGTTGTTGGAGTGCTCTAAACCCAGGGCGTGACCCAGCTCGTGGATTGCGACCAGGAAGAGGTCATTACCTGTGTGAACATTATGGAGCAAACCGACGAGTTAGGGGAGGGGAACAACGTTTGACGATATCCACTAGATTTTTAACTTCATTGAGATAGACAATCTGCATTAAAACATTAGTTTCTTATGAAAAATACACAACGCAATCCATATGCTGCAAGCTACATATGGAAGAAAGAACGTCATACTGATACCGGGGGCATGGCACCAAACTGTGTGACCAAAATAAATATGTGACAAATTTTAAGTTAATATTTCACATGGCCACATTTGTGTGAGTGCATGATGATCATCAGTCTGATTTAACATGTGAAACAAAATTTTCTGTTATAAAATGAGGAACGAGGAGGAGGCTGATCCCAACTCAGACAAAACTGATGTTGACAGTACAGAAAGTCACTGACATTACTGATGCTCCTGACATTATGATACACATAGCAGTGCTGACAAGAGATTGGCTGATTGGATAATGACATGAATATACAGAGGTGTGCAAGGGCTTCTAATAAGGTGATCTGTGGATATCCATGTATGATCCATTATCTACACCGCTCATCCTTCGAGGGTTGCAAGGGGAGCTGCAGCCAGTCCCAGCTGACATATAGAGACAAACAATCATTCATGCTCACATTCACATCTACCATCAGTTTAAAGGCTCCAATTAACCTAGAACAGAGAACATGCAAACTCCACACAGAAAGATTCAAACAAGCAACCTTCTTGCTGTGATGCACCACCGTGCTGCCCGTTGTGTATATCCATGTAGTTGATATCAGAATCTCTTTCAGTTGTGATGACCACACATATCTCCACTGATCCGACACATGAATCACAAAACGCATGCTAATGACGGCTGATAGGCATCCGCATACATTCCTGGCATTTCGAAGCAGTCAGAGGATACTGTCGTCCACTGTCACACTGCAACAAGTACACACTGACAAGGCCGCAACACAGCTGAGCCACAATGACCATTGCATCAACTTCCTCTCTCCACAAAAGACTTCTCATAGACTTTTTTCTAAAAAGTAAAACCAAAGAAAACCTAGTTGAGAATTGACTAACATGTTCATATATTGAAGCCAGCGCACAGTCGGGTACTTCCCCTCTCAGTCAATACCTCTTTGTTGCCCTGCCCTGCTTTCTGTGAACTTTGAACTTGCAAGTAATTATGTCCACTCCAGCTGATTGGTCAGATCTGGGCCAGTGACATCACGCTGTTGGTGACTTGGTGATGTCACTAAGGTGAATGCAAGGGAAAGGGGAAGATGGTCTGTATGAATGTCCTACTAATTTCCCTTTTACGACACACGCACACGCACATGCACACACAAACACAAACACAAAGACACACACATAGCAACCATCTATAATTCAGAGTCACATGAATGTCCTCATGGCATGCCTAGCTACAGCTAACACTCGAGGAGAGAAAACAGCAGAGGGCAGGACAGGGGATGAATAAAGAAAAAAGAGAGCGAGAGAGCAGATAAAGAAGTCTTTGTGAGGTCACCGTGACAACCATTTAGTCGACAGAGAAAGGAGCAAGTCAACTTCAAACATCTCAGCAAAGTTCAGCCAACACATCTAATCCTCACTACACGCACATTTGGTCATTCAAGTCTTATTTCACTTTTTTACCATGTCTCACAGCTTTTTCACCGACAACTGAGACGGCCCCCCCCGGTATAAAGCCGCACCCTGACCACCAGAATGCTCTCTCCATGTTCGCTCTGCCTTTTGCCAGTAACTTAATGTTTGCCTCATCTGACCTCAAAGAACCACAAAGGCTTCTGACGTGTTATTGCTACAGGGTGTCATTGTGTCAAGTGCGTTTGAGAGTGCGTATCAGTGGGTTGCTTTGGAAGAAAGTGTAAAGCATTTTTTTATCAGACCATGCTGATTAATCACACTGTGCGTCACAAGGTTCCCACCGAAAATCTCAAGCCCACTAGAAATGTTATTCACCAACAAATGAAACCGATGTCAGGTAAAGGGAGGAAAACAATATAACTGCAAAGGACTCAGATGAAATGGATTGTCGCTGTCGTATTTATTTTTTATGTGTGACTATTGATCTCTGAGTTTAAGTCTGTTTTTGTTTGTCCCCATCCAAAAGTGGGTCAGAGGTCAGAGCTGATTCTGTTTCATGCTTCAGGACACTTACTTCAGTGCAGCAGATGCTCATCAAGTCTCACTTCTTCTGCTCCTTCATGTGAGATTGTGTGTGCCCTAGGATTTGAAGAGTGGCAATTCTGAAGGAATGATGCTATAATATAATATTCCTTTTTCAAATTTACTTTTGAAAATAACCCTAACCCAAAAATTAAATTTTAATTTTAAATCTGTTATTTTCCCAATTCACTGATTTGTTATTTAAACTACATGAAGGTCATTTTCTAGGGCCCAAGATTAAAATAGACTATTTTATATTATTTGATGACATTTAATTTATAATGAACTAAGCAACTCTTTATTTTTAAGAAGCTTGTAATTTAGGATATTTGGCATTTTTATTTGACATGTTAACAATTAACTGAATTAACTTCATTGCTGCTGTCTTGCTTTAATGTTTTTGCTCCAACAGCCAGATGCTTGATCACCCTGCATGTGTTTTGCCAGTACAGAGGCCAAAAATTTAAAGTGTAGGGGCTAAATTTCGAGCATAATGCAAATGGACGGCCGTAAAAAATAACACAGTTAAATGAAGACTGCATCTGTGAAAAGTTCAAGAAGGTAGACATGTGTCTAACTAAGTCAGACAGGACTGTAATTTGGTTGTACTTTGCTTTTAAGCCGTTTAAGTAGAGCAGTCTGCAGATCTCCCCGAGTGGAACACACTCCCACTTACTGTGGGATTCCAGGATCTCTGTGATCTGTCCTGCAGGACATTTCCCCCCCCCCCAGAAAACACACCCACACCCACACACGCACACACACGCACAAAGCTTTAGCTGTCTGTGTCTGGTGGGTGTATGTAGATAACAGGGAAGGAAAGCCCATTGTTGCAAAAAATCCCTTTCTGGTCAGCAGGGTTAATGGGTGCACTGCAAGAACAGGAACTCTGGAGACTTCTCAATCTTTCTTTAAAGTTGGGATATTTTCTTAATCCTCAACTCTTAGATTAGAGCTGGAAATTTGTGTTAAAATTGAAATTTTAAGGGTTCCTCTCAAGAAAAGTGGGATGAGGTTAGATTTAGTCAATGATTTTTGCAAACTGTAATCGTCACAGACCATAGTGCATGGAGTTCATTGATAAGTGTTTTTCTCAGCAACATGGATGATTAAGATTAGATTAAAAAACAAGTGGGGGCAATGTGAGATTTACCTGTTTTATGGGCTGACAAAAAAAAGACAACTGGCTTGGCCCAATGGCCCACGTCAGCCCACCAGGCAAGGCCAGCCCTGATACCAACTCAACTCATGCACCAAATCATCCATGCACCTGAAGAAGTTCAAATTTGTTGTGTTATTTCAGAACATGGAAATGTTCCTTCCTGTTGTTATTTCTGCTTTACTGTAGCGTTTGGTTGTAGTTGAAGATGAACACTACTGTCTCTGAAATCCAAATGCATTTCTAAATATTCTGACAGTCAGCATTTACCTTGTATGTTCTGGTTTCCTATTGTCCACGGCTCATCGGAATCAAAGTGCGTGTCCCCGCCCATTCCAGGTCCAGGGAAGTAGGCGTGGGCGAGGAATCCTCCCTCTCCATCAAAAGGAGAGCTGTCTCCATGAAAACCTGAAGCAAAGAAGATCATGATGTCGGGCTCCTTGCGTCGTCCATATTTGATCTCCTGGTAAGGGATCTCGTCAAAGGTCAATGGGGTGACCCTCTGCCAGACTTTAAAGGCCCGCCGGATGGCTTCATATGAATTATACTCTCCGATCTTGGGAGTGTAGTTCTGGATGCTATGGGAAAAAAGAAAGGAAAAGGGAGAAAGGTAAAATAAATTCCTTTTTCATATGTTTTTTGTATTAATACTGTTAGCAATTTGAGAAAGATTCAGGGAATTACAACTTCATACCCAAAGGAAGGCAAATTTCACAATGTTCTGGCTAAAATCAAGCATATGTATCTAGTCTGGTACATACATAAGAACTGAATCCCCACCCTGAACCCATATTGTTTTACAGTAGCAACCTACGACAAGGACAAAAAGTGTCTGATTAGATTTTCTTCAGATGTGTGACAACTTCTTTTGTTACCTGTATGTGAGGTGGTTCTTGTTCCATTTATGTCCAGTGAGGGCGTAGCGCTTCTTCCGCACATTGGTTTTGATCTGGCCTCCAAACTTGTCAGGCACACCACAGCGGGGTCTCTTCATGGCGCTGAAGGAGTTGAAAGAAGATCAGGAACAGGCAAGAGGCATGCCACAGAGTGTTGAAAAGAAAGAGGCCCCCAAGAGAGAGGATGAAGGGGAGTACGAAAGCACAACTCCTACTTTCCTTGATGTATCTGTACATTTCTGTTGTTTAATTTAAAGTGTACCTATGAGCTGCCTCGTGCAGCCAGATTACTGCTCCTCTCGAGCAAAAAGAAACATAGTAGAAAGTCTGTATGTTTGTGTGTGGGGGGGCGTAAAATAATCGTTCATTAATTGTAATCAAGGAAAAGGTTTGAAACAATCGTGATATCGCCCATCCCTATAAGTGGGTGTCTAGATGCACAAAACCATCCAAGCTAAGTCCAGCTAACCTGATGGTTTGAGGGTCCATCTGTCCGGTGACCTCCAGACCATAGAACCGCTGCATATCGCTGATGGAGTTGGATAGGATCTGAGCTGATCGCATGGTCGACATCTGTCTGCTGGCCTGGGGCAGGTAACCATACATCCTCAGCCATGACTGGAAGAAAACAATTAAGAAAATGCACAAATGAGGAAAGGGCCATCTATTCATATGTGATGCAAATTCAGTTACAATGAAAGCTCATTGGGACAATATTCCTGAAATTGACCGCCACCACAAAGACTTTTTAAAATCAAAAGGAAAATCAGAACATGAAAAAGAAGTAGAAGGTATTCATGTAGCTAATTTCTGTTGTTACACAGCTGAGAGCAAGGATCTGAGGCACCTTGAAGCTTGGTAGTTTCTTTCAAAGAAAAGTAGTGATATTTTTAAAACAACATTGCTATTTTAAAATGTATGCTGCTGTGCATTAGGTTGCATTTAAAGTTTTGTATAGAAAATGAGGAAGGCAGCCTCCAGAATTTGAGAGTATGTGACTGGGAGAGTCAGAGGGTGGGGGGGTTAATGGCAGACATTAGGGAGAAAACGTGATACTTGAACCAATCAACGATGACGCAAAGGCTCTCCCACCTGTTTTGCAGAAACCTTATATCACACGCACACATTCAAACAAACTCATGCAAGCACTTGCATATCGGTAGTCTGAGATACTTAATACGCCCACACATGGACACACACTCCCCTTTGCTGGTTCAGGGAATGTAAAAACAGGGCGTGTGTCTATGTGAGTTTGCATGTGTGCTCATGTATGTTGATTTGAGAACATCTGTGTGAGCAGATGTCATCTCAAGTATACGCCCATTCTTTTGCATTGTAAAGTACTAGTTGATAAGGCTGTGTATTTACTTACCCGCTCCTTTACAGCCATAAAAACAAACTCAATTCTTTCAGTCTTTCTTTTTCACACACACATATGGCATGAATCATAATAATTTAAAAATGATCTAAATAATAATTGCCCTGGTCATTTTTATGCAACTTGACAAAAGTTTTTTTCACTTAATGTTTGTTCCATATATCCCCACAGTCCAATTAAAACAAGTAAATACATTCCTTGATTTACTTTATACACCCTCTGCCTGACCGTCCTGCTCCTTCTACACAACAACAATATGACTGGATGTACTGAAAAGGGCCAAACCTGTGACCTATGCTCCACTCTACATGTGTGTTCCTCCAGCATTAGACCAGTCATTACAGGACTGCTGTTATTTATCATCAGGAAGTGATCAATCAACTGGTGTCAAATTCTAAGATGAGTTCTGACGGCATCACCAACGACAGCATTGCGACAAGATAAGAAAATAGATGACTACAGTCACCCATTTAACATTGGTCCTTTGTTAATGTTGCACTTCTTCTCTTTTTCAATGATGAAGTTTCAGGCTCAAAAAAGTTTTAAGGTTTTTTGACAGGATTAGAAACAGTAAGTAATTTAGAACAAAAGAAATGGACATAAATAAAATAATTTCAAATGTCAAAATTAAAAGCAGACGACTTAAACAACTGACTGACTGACTGGAATTGTCACTTTTACAGTTAAAATACATAACCATATAGATGCTATTTTACATTTCTCTCAGTGTGAAAACACAAGTATTGGTTAAGACCTCATGTCTTTATAGTCTATGCACAGTCTTTATAGTCTATGCACAGGTCGTCAGGGGGCTAAAGATGACAACACAAAGAGTTTGAGCCCTCAGGCTTTAGAGCACTTGGCCTGAGGTGCTGAAACATTCAAAACCTGATTCATCTTTATGTTAATTCTCCAAACACATTAAGAAATACATGGTGTGTGTGTGTGTGTGTGTGTGTGTGTTCATGGGAGCAGGAAGAGGTATAGGGATGGCTGAACTGGACATGACCCGGACCCACCTCTGCCTTTAGATAAGGACACTTCAAACACGCTGACACACGGACGTACACACTCAAAAACAAACACGCACTTCCTGAAACACTATCTAAGTACTCTCTCTCTCTCTCTCACACACACACACACACAACAACACACACTCTGAGTCAAGGGGAAACAGGTGGCAGGGATCACAGACCACTCTTCTCTAGTCCAATCATTTTAACATATAAGTTACATGTTACACACAATCACAAAGAAGACACCAACAATGACAGTACATGTATCAGTGACCAATCATTGAGTCAGATTCATTAATTCAATATAAAAAGTCAAACAATGGCTCCTTGATTTCAGACAGAGGGGGATCAGAGCAGGGTTCTGATTTTGAAATGACTATCGCTGGCAGATCTGATCAGCTACAGCTCAACCGTGTTTGCCGTGAGTACAGGAAACTCATCCGAACTCGTTAAAATTCAAATTAAATTTGGACCGTGAAGAAATCCAAAGCAGTCAAAAATTGCTTTCAGATATGGACTGAATATGGAATAATCTCCTGAAATACCTGGAGGGGCTAAATGTGAGAATGTGTAATGTCCTTTTGAGAAGCTTGAGACTTTCTCCAGAGTTTTTCCTGCCAGGCTCCTTGTAAAAACTCTGGCTATAAACCGAATGACACCATGTGAGAACGTAGATCCTCTGCAGGATTCACCACAAGTGAGTGGGTATGTTGATGACATTTCTAATATGTGACAAAAGCATACTGAAAAAAATTCAAACAATACAAATATCAGAGGATGAATAATTGGTGTTATACACAGACGAAGATGTCACAAGAGCTTTTGGTGAGAAGGGCTGACGTGGGTGTTGATGTGCTGTTGACAAAGTGATCTCCACAGCAGAATTTATAAGTTACGCCCTGCCTCTGCCTGATGCTGCACCCCTCACCATTGTGCGAACATACTCCACAGTTCATGTCTGAAAACGTTGTTTTGTTTTTTTAGGAGTTGTGTTGGTCAGAGGACGTCCGCATGTCTCTGTATTAGTTATACAACTATACAAAAATAACGATAATTATTATTATTTATTTAATATGAAAAACAAAGCACATAGTGTCTTAATTTGCTCTGATCATTATGGATCACCCTGCTGTAAAGAACCAGAATCTGGACGTTCACTTTCTCTCATCAGGTGAATATAACACAAGTCTTAGACAAAACATGGAATACGGCTTTTGCTTGTGTGTGTGTGTGTGTGTGTGTGTGTGTATGTGCAATGAGTGAGTATATGTGCATGTGTGTGTGTCTGCTTGCAGCATATATGCTAGACCTTGTCTATTAAATTGGCTTTCAAAGAGTCCTTGGGCTTACCTGCCAAAACCAGACCCAGCAATATACAAGGGGTTGTAAAACCTGCCAAGACTGTATGTGTGTGTATGTGTGTGTATGTGTGAGTGTGTTTGTGTGTGTGTGTGTGTGTGTGTGTGTGCGTGTGTGTGTGTGTGTGTGTCCACCACAATGTCAGCCAAGATACTAACAGAGCTTTTATTCTGAGGCTTGGTCTGCTGCCATCTCTTACCCCCCAAAGTCCTACCAGGAGGAAGTAAATGGAGAAGTGGGAGAGAAATTGAGATGGACAGAGAGGAAGAAGGGAATTAGATTTGAAGACTTCTTGAAGCATATATCACCGTAGAGAGTCAAACAGAAACCACGTACACAAAGCACAATCACCAAAGGGCACTCAGAGATAGTTCCAATCTCATGGCCGTCCCCTGCCCCATCCCACGCCTTTAGCAATGTGAGTCTTGTGGACATTGTGATAGCCAATCAGACGGGACAGGGGGAGAGCAGGAGGGCTGTGAAGAGACAGCACGTTGCACATTACATGGATACAAAGAGGACATGGACACAGGAGCATGTTGAGCTATGTGCTGCAATGAGCCACTGATTACTCCTCCCCTCGCTGCTTTTACTCTGCTGGAGCTGCAAGTTGCTGTTTAACTCTTTTTTCACTCCTTCTATACGGCTTGTGTTATCATGTCCATGTTTCTCTCTGTGCTCTCTCATCCTCCTCCTCTCCTATTCACAAGTTTTCTGTCAGGGCAATCTGTCTTCAGACAAGAGGCTCCATTGTATTTCTATGCCTTGGAGTCCCAGGCCCAGCATGCCTGTGCAGCAGTGTGTGTGTGTTTGTGTGTGTGTGTGTGTGTGTGTGTGTGCGTGTGTGCGTGTGTGTCCCAGTTAAAGAACAGCTGTCACATTCAGCCATCACATGCTGCACAGCTGAGAGTGACCACTACAATCCCTGTTAACTTTCTCTCTTCCTTTTTAGAAATAACTCCATCACAGATTCCCCTTGGCCACGACATGCTGTGACATTTCCTCCTTTTTTCAAATTAAATATTCTCTGAGTCTGGTCACACTCACACATTTGATAATCCATCTCTTTCCCCCTCATTCCTCCGACCTCCCACCTCATCCTTTCAGTCCAGACAGAGCGGTCGAGTTGAGTTTCTCAGACCTCATCACATGGACTTAATGACATTCCAAGGATGAGGTTTGGTATTTCATTATGTGAGTCATGTACCGATAGCCATCAATTAATAAAGTCATCTAAAAAAAAAAGAAGGCTGATGCGGTCCTCACAGGACTGTAATAATCGAATGACATGATTGGCTGGCCTGCCTGTCTGTCACTTACTGACCTGCCTGACTGTCTTCAGTCACATCTATAGTCGAAAGGGAAACACTGCCGAGGCAAAGACGATAGCCAGAAGTTAGCAAATGAGTCATGATAAAGTTGGCTTCTAACGGTTGTCAGAGCGTAGCTTCGGAGAGAGGGCTGATGGAAGGGGGTGGGATGTATCGGTTGCATTTTTTCTCTCGATTTGTTTTTCCAGGATTAGGAACCCAAGCTTTAACTATTTAAAGTACGTGTATAACACAGTATCAACACAGACTGGATGTGTTGTGAAGTTATTTTGAAACAATCCACATATGTTGTTTAGATTGTTCAAACACTTTCAGTCCACTCACCTGTCCTTTATCTTTGATAGAAGACTCTACAGTATGTTTTAAATACCACCTTATCACCACTGAAATTTGAGCTGACCCTTTGTTCACACATAAAGGTTTTTAGAACCACTGTTATGTGTGTTGTGGGTGTGAGCACATTTTCATACCGGACTCCAGAGACGCACGCATCCGCTAGATGCAGTATGGCCATCAGCCACTTCATAAAGGTTCAGTCTCCCTTGACTTAAAGACTAGTCGGCATATCATGGAGGTTAGCAGGCCCATCATCAAACCAACAGCATGACGTAAGGTTCTGTTTGAGTCCTCAACTAACACTTGAGGTTTTACTTTATTCTAACACATATAAGCCTCCACTGTTTGTCCTATTTTCTGGACCACTGCTGATTTTTGAGCGTAACTGTTAATGGAAACACTCTGTTGCTGCTACACATTAAAATGACCTGAGATTGTCGACAGGAGCTTGTTCTAAATTTTTTCAGGTTAACACAACAACTAAAGGTCTTAGTGTGTAGGATTTAGGGGGAAACATCAACAGAAATAGAATACATTATTCAAACAAATGTTTTCATTAGTGTATAATCTCCTGATACCAAGAATTGTTGTGTTTTACCGTTCACTGAGGCTTTTATACATCTGGAACAGGTTCCCTTCCATGGTGTCCACCATATTGCACCACCACGCTCCTAGCCCATGGTGGACAAACCAAACAGTGACTCTAGAGAGGGCGTTTCCTGTTTTTATATTACCTGAAGACCACCATAGGTTCTCATACACACTTGGAAGGGGAGGGGAGGTCGATGTTTAAAAATTACACACTGAACCTTTAAAATTCTCTGTCTCTACCACAGACTTAAGTTAACTGTGTTCTTGAGGGGCCATGTATGGGATGAGTGAAGATTCTAATTGGGAAAAAAAGGATGAGGAGTGTTGCGGGACGCAAGTAAGCCCTTTTACTGAGGGACGGCTCTGATGTATCGGATATCGATAAAACTGTCACAAATAAATGGAGATGGGCTTTCTGTCACATCACAGCTTGTGGGTGCAGCTGTCTGGGATATATAATTCAAACAATATCAATATTCAGAGTAATTAAAGTGTCCTAACACTCTTACGTGGTTTCAATCATTTCAATCAAACAACAGTAGTTGGACTATACCTACTTATGTAATATCTTGATAAAATACTCATTCTCCTAAAAAGTACAGGTTTTCCAAAGAGTGGCCTGTTGTCTCCGCTTTTCTTTTCTCATTAAAATGCTGTGTAATAAGTGTGTACTTTTAAATAAATAGCCATTAAGTGAAATATGACAGGATGACAACAATATTTGTGTGGATTGCTTGATTTTCATGACTGTTCATTTATCTCAGGACAGGAAAATTGTGTTCAGGAACCTATGAAGTCTCTCACTCAGTTGTCCATGGAGGAGTCTGAATGTTAGAAGACAACACGTCTCATGCAGTAGTTATTGCTTGAGCTGACACCAACTCGCAAACACATTTAGCAATTTAGTTCATTTCTCCTCAGTCCGCACATTGTGTAAAACCAACAACTCCTGTCTCAGTAAGAAACATTAGCACACATGCCTGCACATACCACAGCTATGTTAATACCCCATCAGTGTGTGTTGCAACCTGACAGACCAGACCCCTGGTCACTGGGTTTGGTGATGCAAGCTCACCTCTAATGACCGCCAGGCCTCTGTGTGTGTCTCTCTGCTTTTCTCTCTCACACAGAAACAAGAGCTCCCCACCACTAATCACCTTCTAATATGAACACACACACTAAGACCTTTTCTCTTAGAGTCAATAGTCTCAACACTGATGGAACAAGAATCTACGATGTGGTGTTTCTAACTTGACATTTTGGCACAAATTAGTATCAAGGTATACAACACGGAATAAATATATTGTGTCCTTAAAGGTTATGGAGGTCCGAGGATGAGGCAATACGAGCAAAGTGAAAACTAACTGGCAAAGAGGAAACACTGGGGTATCTTGAGTTTCCATATGTGATACCGACTGCTGGGCATTGTGATGACTAACTGAGCAAGTTTAGTTAACGAAACGATGGCTGGTATAGTAACTATCAGTACAAGTGGTAATGACCATGAGTATAGTGCTTGACTTCTCTTTATGTTTGCACATTCATTTGAGGGGGAAGGGACATGAATGGTCAGGAGTTGGCTCCTGACAGGAACATTTCTGGAACCCTTGTAGTGTTTAGAAACAAACACACAGATCATGCCTCAGGATCTGATCTCATATCTGTAGACATACAACCTGCAAGTCAGCTTTGCTAACAAAATGAACCACATGTGAAATAAGAGCATGTTGAGGGAAATACAGTGTATTAACAATAATAACAAAAGTTATGATGAAAAGAATAATGGTAATGTAAACCATATTAGTAACATACAGCTACTCAGTGATTATTGTCAATCTTATTATTGTTATAAACTGGTGCTGCTATCATTAATAACATCCCTACATCTATAAGTATTAGTCTTACAATGTTCATTGTGACAACCAATCTAACAGAGCTTAACATTGACGGTTACACAACAGTCCCTGGATGCTCACATCGAGTCTGGTTCTGCTAGAGGTCTCTCCGTATTACATTTGACTTTACTCCAAGGTCAAGTTCTTGCTTATTGTGGGAACTGTATTGTAAGGTCTCAAAATTACTAAGTGCCTTGAGATAATGTACGTTGTAATGTATACTAATATGCTACAAGTGAATTGATTGTAATGCAGAGGTCCCTGCCTCAGTTCTGATTGGCTGGTTTAGAAGATATTACACAGGTAAATGTTATTCCTTCATATCAGCTAATGGAAGTGAGGCACACCATTCGACCATTCAGTTATTAAACTGTTACTTACAAATATGTATAGATAAGATGAGATCATCCTTTATTAGTCCCAAATGGGGACACTGGCAATATAACAGCAGCGAGAGTCAAAAATAGGCATCAGTTAGAAATAAGTAAGTAAGTTTAATAAAACTTTAGTGTAAGGAAATACAAAAAATAAGAAAATATGTGCAGTATGAGAATATGTAGTGAATGGATTGCACATGAACCGATGTATTGCACAGACAGAATGAATATGGCAGAGTTAAGAGTGAGACCAGAGTTAAAGTGGTCCAGAGTGGGTGCGTGCAGTTCTCCTGCAGCAGAGCTGATCCTATGAATGCATAGTTCATGTTATGAGAAGAATATGAATGTGTTTTATACATTGTTCGTTGTATTCTGCCTTTCCAAAGAGTTCAGAGCTGAAACAGTGAAACAAAGTTGTTACCTCCGCGTTGAAGGAGCCCCCATCCTCCGCTGCACGCGCCCCGAGCGCGCACAGCCACAGCGCGAGCAGGGTCCGTCTCCAGAGCAACCAGGGGCAGCGGGCCCGCGAGGGGGGGGACATGGCGAAATAATGTCTTGACCGACTTTTAATGGCAGTGCTACACGTTTTAGAGGTAAAAGAACCACTCTGAACTATGAGCTAGCAGGACAGCTGCAGCGGTCTTCAACAGTGCACTTGTGTCCCGGAGGAGCGCTCCATTCCTGGGTAGAGTCAGAGCCGCGGTGACCGCTCCATGGAGGTCGGCGGAGTTTGGCTTCTTCGCTCGGCTCTGCTGTGATGACGGACGGGCGGCGGGTCACTGAGCAGCCGGGACGAGTAGCAGCTCGGCTCTGCAGCACAAACCACTGTCCGCCGCTAACATGTTCCAGAGAGAGACATCCAGAGAGGTTCAAAAGTTTCAAACTGAGTCAAGTCAATGATGGAGCTCAAAGTTCACCTGCACCGACAGCACGTTCAGAAAATAAAAGATGTCTTCTCTCTTTGTTTTCCAGTTTCTCCCAGTTCCCCGGGGAACGAGCTCAGGAGCCGGGGATCAGTCGGTGGTTCCCGGTCCTGTCGGTGTCTCCCTCGTGTTGTCTCCACCGGAGCAGGACGGTCAGTGAGCCGCTGGGTCCGTGCTGTTTCTGTACCCAACGTGACACAAGACTGACAACACCACCACCACCCGTTCCTGTGCTGACCTTCAGAATAAAAGACAGCAGTGGCCGCACGGCTCCAGTCACGAGGAGCAAAAATCTGAATTTGATTTAATCTGATTCTTTCCTTTTCTCAAAATATTCCAATAAGTTAATTGTTAAGGAGCAAACACTGAAGTATCCAATGGAGCACATGGAACAACAACTTTATTCCTTGTTTTCATTAACTGTATTATCAAATTAATTCATTTCTTTGTTACTGTGTTCTCTGCTCTTACCCATGGTTAAATGTTAATGGGTGTGCATTTCTCCATACTCTATTTTGATCATCATTGTTAATATTGTCATTATTATTAATTGTGATTTTTTTAAATATAGTTTCAGTTACTTTTTAAAAGTGTCTATGCTGTTGTTTTTTCGTGCCATGCCAAATTCAAAGACCTGAGTCCTGTTCGATGGGGAAAATATATCTGCAAGTCATAAAGTTTCCTCCCAGGCGATATTTTGCCGTTTATTTTGAAGGCCAATCTAATTTCCCGTATTGTCTTGTCTCTATATGCTAACTTGATGGAGTCAAGCACTACGATGCCTGATCAACCAGACGGATGGAGGTGGAAGAGGAGGTGGAAGAGGAGGTGGAAGAGGAGGTGGAAGAGGAGGTGGAAGAGGAGCAGGAGCAGAGACAGAGCCCGAGGGAAAACATGACCCTCCCCCTGTGTTATATAGCTCCACCACACACACTCACACACGATGATATCATCAGGTTTTGTGGAAATTGTTTCAGAGTTGTTGATTCAACGTTATGATTATTTTAGAGGATGAAATCTGTGGTGCTCTTGAATTTCACTGTATTATTAATTGGCATACTAGATATTTCTAGTAGTTTTGAAGTTTCTCCCATTGACCATACATAATCCCATCAACCACATAAACAGCTGATTGCACATGTGACTCTGTCCCTTTAAAATCCTCATAATAATTAGTTTAAAAATACTTGTGGTTGGTCAATATGATCCCAGGAATTACCTGAATAAATTCAACCCTGATCGAAGGCCAAAGGAAGCAGGTGTTGACTGGATATCATGAACAGCACAGCTACTAAATAATCAATATTTATGTCTGAAATGTAGATTTTGGCATTTCTCATTCAGCGAGGAGTTCCAAAAGTGACAAGGGTGAGTGAGAGGGTGATTAGATGATGAGTTTCTCTTGTATTTAAAGACATGTTTGGTCCATGAGGTCTCAATTTAGACTGTATATACAGATAGATGACATGACAGCTCCAACACGTCCTGCCTGGTGGCTGGCTGCAGTATAGGTCATGAACCCCACCTCCACTATAGTGGATGGGACATGAGCCAAATAAAAAATATATATATATATAATATCACAAGAATAATAATAATATAGATCTCAAAGATGTTGTATGTCATGTAAGGTAGAACTTGTCACACTGATGTATGGTCAAATGCAATTTTTTCTAGTAAGGTGGTGTACATGCATAGACTTGTAACTGGTGCAAGATGGCAGCGATAATATCCAGGATATCTTGATTATCATTTTGAGAGTGGGAGGAAGTGGAGGTGTCACTGTTAAAGCCCAATCAGTCTAAATGTCTGTTGACATACAATGTGTTGTGTTTTTTATTAGTCAGTTTGCCATGAGGATCAACACTTGCTGTGTGGGAGTCATTCTGCTTTACTGGTCCCCTTTTTTTTTTATCCAGATGAGCAGTCTGTGACAGTTTGTAACATGTGGATCAGTCATCCCCATCCCCCTAGTCCTAATCCTAATCTCTTGCTATTTCATTGTTTTCTGAGTTAATTAAACTGGGAACAAATTATCATAACATCTAGTTCAACAACAAGAAAAGTTTATTGTT